TTTTAAAGGAAGTTATGTGCAGTAAATTTGTCCACGGAAGATAATTTTATAGGAAGCTATGAGAAATTTTCAAGAAGTTTTTACCCCTGACTGAAATTATTTTCGATTCCTTTAAAACAGGCTTCTGCAACCCACAATTAAAACTAATTTTTCATAATATGAAGTAACAATTACCGTTGCTCATCAAAATTAAACCTGATTTCTCGGAAATCTGGTACTTTTCAGGGCTGTTTATGGTTTGAGTAATGTCTCTTCTAAACATGCGCATGTTTTAAGATCTGATGTTTTGCTTCTGAAATTTCTGTTTCACACATGAATCAGACCAGGAACTAGCTTGATCACATGATGTCATTCGCATTTAATTAGGTTTCAACTCTAATGTTTGAGCATGCAATTACAGTAATAAACTAAAGATTTTTTGCTGGCTGGAAAAGATGCCAAAGATTGGTGCGTAGCAGTTTTCACTTATCTGTTGACTTTGTAGTAGTTAGAACATAGTTGAAAGATGCCAGAGGAAAAAGTTCTAACTGTTGAAGAGTATGTTTTTGCTCTTTCTGTTTGTTTTGGAGGACAGAGACTAATATTTTAATCAGAAGTAAAATTGAGAGTACAGTTTGGGGGTTATTAATCACAAAATGTACTCGTACTCAAAATCCATGTTTTCTTCGATTCACTTTTTTCAACTGTTATAATCGGGCTTCTTTCAAAAAAAGAGCCCGGAAAATTGTGAAAGAGCCCGGAAAATTGTTAAAGAGCACGAAAAAGTGCACAAAACTATGCAAATAATTTCTTTTTTCCTTCATGCGTTCTAATATTTTTCTATACTAATTTGCCGATATTGATAGGCTTAACGATATTGATAACTTGATTAGAAAACAACATCGAAAGTGTTTTCATTTTTCTAAAACTTTGGATAAAAAAGATGCTAAGAAAAATCAGATTTGAAGAATCATGTATCGTTTGCAGCTTAAACGGATTGAAAACTGATTCTAAACGAACAAACAAGCCCGTATTAAGGCGATACTGCTTATGTTTCAACTGCCCTATCAGATAATTAAAATCATTTTTTTAAATAGACGATTAATTCGAAAAAATTGTAACCCTTCAGTAAAAATGTAAAAAAAGAAGTTTTTTCCTGATAATATTTTCGCTCCCATGCCTTGTTAACCTTTAGGGTATTTATTCCTCACCTGAAATTTTGTTGTTCAGACCAATTAGCTCGCCGCAAATCAATTTAGAAAAACAATTGAAAAAATTTTGCTGCGCAATGGTACGTATCAATTTCTTTCAGCATTAATAACCACTACTTTTCTTCTTAAGATCAGTGCAACAATATATTCCTGCTGGTACAGAAATTCCGCCAAAAGAATTTAATGAAATCTAACATTACGAGGTCAAATTGCATTTTGTGCATTGCAAGCGTATTCCGCAACAATGACACTTCTTTTTATTCTTATTTGTTCTTTCATTCACTTTGATCGTTCCTACAAAATTTTAATATGTTTAAAAATTTGTCTCTGGAATCCAGGAACATACAGACACAAAATTGTGCGCCTATCCAGTGCACAATTTGGCCTCGTAATGAATAAATTGTCTGGAGAAAAAAAATAACTCAAGCCCATTTTTTCCGTATAATTTTTTCATGGATAATATCAATAAAATGAATGAATCATATTTTTTCGTGTTTATTCGCTTCCAAATAATTTGTCGAAACATTTAGTAATCAAAACTATTACTCAACATTTGGCATCCTTTTCCAATCAGAAGAAAATCATTATTTATCAGTGTAATTGCATGCTCATATTACAGTGCTTATTTAAATTAACCGGACAAAACGCGGTAAACTTGAAATTTAAAACGCGTTTTTCTCAAACTGGGTTGAATTTAGGTGAAAACTTATGAAGACAAAACTTGCTTAAAATTTTAGCAGAATTAATATGGCGTAATTATATGGCGTTTAATAAAGCAAATTACGCCATATTAATTCTGCTAAAATTTTAAGGAAGTTTTGTCTTCATAAGTTTTCACCTAAATTCAACCCAATTTGAGAAAAACGCGTTTCAAATTTCAAGTTTAACGCGTTTTGTCCTGTTAATTTAAATCAGCACTGTACATGATCAAGTTTGAACCTAATTCAGTGCGAATTACTACATAGATTACAGACCTGATCCCCCTAATTCCTGGTCTGAATTATGTGTGAAACAAAAAAATTTCAGAGGGAAAATATCAGATCTTAAATTATGCGCATGCTAAGTCTTATACATTAGGAACTAAACAAAAATATTTTTTTGAATGCGTAGTGACACAGTAGTGACAACGAGATTGCGTTTACAACGAAAACTATAAATGCTAAATTAAATACAGTTCGTTCAGAAACTTTGTCATTTATAGGCGAAACAACTCGTCGAGTGGATCAAACTTTTTTTAGCAATGTCAGTTGTACCTAGAAGTTACAAAATTGTTAGTTAACTTACATTCTTGCCAAAGTTTTTGAACTTATAATTCATGGAATCTCAATACAGCTCGGAACCCCAATTATCAGAAATGAAATATCTTTTTATTTTGTGATTTATTTGTTTTGATGTTATTAAAATTTTCGACAAAGTTTGTTTCGTTGTATAACGAAATTTCTCTGGACAAGAACCACACAGAGAACAAAAACCAGGTCGCGTTTTTCAAAAATTGGATTGATATTCTTATAATAAGAAACTTATAAATGCAGTTCGATTTATCTGCAAACATTTCAACAGTATAACCGAAGAAAAAAAAATACAGAAGGCAATTATTATATCAGTTTTGAAGTTGTTGCACAAATTTCGAAAAATCAATTTTTTACTCTTTGCTAGTTTTTTGGGCCCATTTGCAATGTGACAAGTAAAGCTCCCTTTGAAGAAACGTGATGGTAGCGTTGTGTACGGAAGATGGCAGCAATGGGCGAAGCGGTTAATGCTGCTTTTTGTTCCACAAAAAAAAAATATTTGATGAAAAGTTAGACGGTACAAAAAATGTGTACACTCAGCCAAAAAAACTTGAGCTTGACTATTTCGAGGATCTTCTGACATAAGAAGTTCGCGGTAGAAAACAAGCCATCTCGACATTAAGTAGAATTTTAAAAAAATTAAAGAAAAATAGTTTTCATTAGTAATTTCGAGTAAACGATCAACTTTGCTAAATATTTGTGGCCCAACTTAAATCTGTCATCAGAGAAAATTCATGTTGGTTGAAATTTTCTTTAAAAAAGATGGACATTTCATCAAGGTTGGAACGAAAACTAAAAAAATCTCTGTCGATTAACCGCAACCTTATTCACAGCATCAGCGAAACTTTTTCAATTACCAGAAGAGTCGAAGACCTGGAGGAACGTCAATCAATGGGATTTAACAAGAACAAAAAAATGCAGCGTCCAACAAGTTTGAAACTGACTTGCTCATGACTTTGCTTGGATTTTTCTTTGGCAATTTTGAAAACTCATGGGGTGTTTTTATTTAATTTTGATTACATAAACTTAATAGGTCAGTACTTCTAAAATGCAAGAGCTGGATATAAACAATTGCATACGTCGAAATTCTATTTTGCAAACTTCTGTGCTCCAATGACTATTTTTTTGAGAAAATGGAGCGTTCTAGCAAACTTCTAAAGTTGAAAAAACTTAATGTTTTTTAACTAACTGATTCGATCCTACTTTTTCCGAAAAAAAAGACCAAAAAGTGCTATGTTTAATGACTTTCTTAAAATTTCACCAAACTAATATAGCTTTTTTAGCCAAAATTTTGAACCAAAAATCTACCCCCAACAAAAACTTTTTGCCTTTTTATGTTATCAAGAATTACGCCGAAACCACCGAGTGAATTGATGAGAAAGTTATCTAGAAAAAGTCCCTTACACAGCTCAACAAAAATCTAGGAAAATAAATTTCCAGCAATCTGTATAAAAGAATATTAATTTAAATCAGTGATATATAACAGAGCAAAAGAGTTTTTAAAAACTATTGAAGACAAAGCAAATAGAAACCAACTTCGTTGTAAATACTCCTCAAAAAAAGATCCTGGCATTAAAAATTTTGATCCAACATTTTTTAAATTACAATTTATTGCGATATTTCTCTGATTCTGAGATGCGAAATTTCCGAAATCGACAGCTATATCTTTTCCGGTAAACAACTTTTTTTAAAAATTTTGAGCTTGCTTTATTAAATTTTTATAGCTTCCTGGTTTCTCCGTACTTGGCCTAGGGTAACTCTGTCACGTTAGCGCCCATAGAACGGGGGTTTGAATCCCATCAAGGTCTTTTTTTAGTATGTATAAACCTGATTTTTTTGCCGATAAAATTGAACCTTCGGACTTTTAATATTGTCTGCTGAAGTTTTGCGGCTTAGATACCATTTCACGATTTTTCTTGTGTTTTCCGCAAGCATCATGGTAGGTGCAAGAGTTGTTCATCATAGTTTCAGGGGACTTGATTTAAGGGGAACTTTTTATTAAAAAATTTTTTTTTGCTTAATTGGTTTCTGCTCAAAGATTGTCGGCTTTGTTTCAGCTTCGTAAGTTACTAAGCGGACAAAAGTCTGATATCCAATCATTAGACACTTGCTATGACAAGTGTTAGTAAAAAACATATCTCCGAAACCAATGCTTAAATCAATGAAACTTCATTGATTTCTACGTGACTGGAAATGATCTCAGAATATGACTACCGATTACAAAACTTAATTGGTTCTTTCGAAACATAATTTACTTGACTATAAAATCGAATATTACGAGCAGCACCATTTGAATTCTGTCCAGTTTACTGCATACAGTATACACAATTAGGGATAGACGAAGAGAAAATAAAGAGCATATTTCGAGAATACTATCAAAACAGCATTAATTGAGTCATACAGAGTAGAAGTCCCGCCTCTTTTTCCTTTTTTCACCCACCTGCAAAATTTATAAACGAAAATTTGTTCAGCTTCTTCGATTGTTTTGAAAATTGGCGTACGGACTAATAACGCCACGCAAAACATATTTGGTCTTCATAATTAACCTTGTAAAAGCACTCGTTACACCATAAAATTGATGCTCGTGTGTGTGTGTGTGTGTGTGTGTGTGTGTGTGTGGGAGGGGGGGGGGAGGAAAAAGAGCCGAAGTCCCTTAATAGAGACTCGTGGTATAAAAGCATACCTGGTCGGAACAAAATTCTCATTCAAGGAAGTTGGCCTTTTTTGGTCCCAGAATTTATGACTCGGAACATTTACTAATGAAACAACTTAGGTTCACACTAGCCGATCGATGAAGCTTTTAATGTTTATATATTGTCCAAATTCAAACATTTGCTCTCTTCAGAATTATTTAAGAGCACTTGTTACAATAGAAAAGGTTCATGATAACTGCGGGAAAAAGAGCCAAATTTATTAGCAACCATTATTGGAATCCGGGAATAATGTATTGAATGAAAATTCAATTGATTTGAGCTTGTATAACTGAAATTTTATAATTTTCAGTTCAAGATAAATCCTTGGTGGATGAGAAATTAATACCACTGTATGTATGCCCAATCCGGACAAAAATCGCTGAAAAAACTCTGAAATCGCTGAAAGATATTTCCGTTTTAGTTCTCTATATTCAATTTAAGGTTTTTTAAATTAAATTTTCTGATCGATTTTGAACTAATTTACCGTAACTTCAACCTGATTTCTTTAACATAGTTTATTTCAAGTTTTAAAAGTGTCTTTGTGATCGACACTTCAAACTTGTTGGGGTTTCAAGGTTCAAGTAGTTTGTTGAGTGTGCTGCTGACTCTGATTATTGTTTTTGTTGCAACAGATGGCTAGACAGAATGCACAGCAGCAGCAGGTCATGGCGGCCATGCAGAATATGTAGACAGTGGTGATGACCCAGAAGGCAAACAGATAGACCACATTGTCACAGTAGCTATGCTCCAGAGAGGGCGATTTGTACTGCACGTCATTGTACTGTCTGTACACCCAGATGTTGCCTAGAACAACAGCTCCGGGGTTAAAAAAAGTAAGTGGGACCCGGGTTTCGAAGAAGATAACAGTTCCAGGGGGTTTGAAAAATTCAAGTGGGACCGGGTAAAAAACACAAAAACCCGATTGGGACCCGGGTATTAAAAAAAAGAAAAAAGTACCAAGCTCAAACTCAGGGGGCTATTCTCATGCGCTAAGGACTAAAAATTCTCAATCAATTAACGACCTTTAAAATGTCCATAAAAACGGACTTTGCGAAATTTTCAATATTGAGCTCTGAGTGGTTAACAAAATTTTCTCGCAGTCGGTCCTTTGCACATGAGGGATTGATGCCCCCTAGAACTCAGTTGTCTCCTATAAGCGAAAACTTTATATTGACTTATAAACTGCTCACTTACATTAATGTTCATTACACAGGTGAAGCTGCGCTTCGGAAACACAAGCGAGGAAAATGCAAAAATGAACTCTAAACAGGCAAAACAAAGTGAAATAATGAAAACAGAAAAAATTTAAAAACACGTTGAGAAAAAATATTGAATATCAATTTTGAGACAAGGAGTATCACGTTCTCACATCTGCTTTACGACCGCTTGTAACTTTACTAACACTAGCCACCAATAAAGCAGCATACATTCAAGCAAAAAAAAACTATTTCCATGTTCTGAATTCAATCTCCAACCTGATGATTAGAAGTGTCACTCACATCCTCGCTTCTGCATCACGGTCACTTGGAAGTAAACTAACAGCCCAGCTAATGCTGGATGTACCTAGTTTAATATTTTAAATCATATCTTGTACTGATGCGAAACTTTCAAATCGACTTTACGCAAAACCCTAGTGATTTCGCTGCTTAAGTAAGAGATTAGCTGATTATTTAAAGGAGAAAACTACTACTGCTCTTTCAATTGAATTCTGTATCTCAGGTTTGGTTGGGTAGTTTTCGAAAAAAAAGAAAAAGATTCCAAAAACGATCAACAAAGATCAAAAATTTTCCTAAATCCATAAACAGTAAAAAAAAAAAAGGATTTTCCCGAAGTCCATATCGGCATTTCAACAAAAAATAGGGTGAAATAGGTTACGCAGGGAAAACGTAAGCACTACGTTAATTTGAATTCAAAAATTGGACTTTTCTAGCGCAAGGAAGAGCCCCTTGCGCAAGGAAGATTCCCATAACTGGTTTTTTGCTTTCAGTTAAATCCTTAATCTCCAATTCGGCAAGGTATTTGAGAATTTTTTTAAATAACGCCTGCTAATCGCAAGCGCAATAACCAAAATGTCAACAAATGGGCTTGTTTAGGCTCATAAATTTTTTTTTTCTACAGAATTTAGGGACTAACCGCTTAAGAAGGGTTGATCCCCATGATTGGATCTTTTGATTGAAATTTTCAGCTGAGATTTGTGCATTTAATATTTGAGAAAACGAAAAAACAATTAAAAACAAATAGATCAAAAATCACCCTACAGACACTTTAGAAGCCCGTAGAACGTAGGATGAAAAGAAAAGACTAGCAAAAATTGCAAGGACATAAAAGAGCAGCCGGTTTGAAGAGCAGACGGGAACAGAGCGTCGCAAAAAAAAAAAATCTCTTACATGTTCACAATAGCTGTTTTGTTTTTAACAGGACCCAATACTTGCCAAAAATAAAGCAACAACATAAGCCTTTAAATTGCCTATGCTTAAATAGGCTCAAATATGATTAAATTGAAATACATCAAAAGAGCCACCTTATTTGCGACTTAGTTAAAAAAAACTCTTCGTAATAATACACTAAGCTTCGATTGTGTAATCACAAATTGTGAATCAAAGACAAAACTACGCTTTGGGGAAGGACGGATAAGGTAGAATTAATTCAATTTCCTTGTGCTTCAATGGTCCACATAAAAAACAATTGTCATAAGATCTGAAAACAATTAGCCAAATGAAAAAGTGTCAATGAAAATAAGAAAACCAAAAAAACTTAGTCTATTGAAACATTCAACAAAAAATATATATGATTCTTTGAAAAAATTTCATGATTGACACTTTTCTGATAGAATCAGCCCAAATTGAGAATATTATGATTGAAATCCACTCTCGAATCCAAATTTATCAAGATTTTTCGCGAAGTTTGCATATTCATTACTGTAGAGAGTAATTAGTCTTTCTTTCAGCAAATAAATTTGAATTGAACCTGAAAGAATAGAAAAAAATGAGCGAGCAGTTTTTAGACCTTTTACTGAGAAAAAAAACCGAAGCAAAAAAGTGTCTTCACTAATTTCAGCGACCTTAATTAAATTAGCTATCAAGGGCCTTGTACCTAAAAGTTAACTATCGCACATCAGAATCTTTAGCACCTTTTCAGAGGTGGCTTTCATCCGCTCATTGATGTTGACCCAGTGAAAACCAACAAATCCACAAAAAACTATAGCAATTATGATGGAAAACTTAATAACAAAAACATTCAACGCTTATTTAAAAACGCATTCGTTATTCCATTGACTAAAATGCTTATTTATTTTAATTATGTAGTTCACAGAGGCGAAACAATCGCGATTCTAGTTCCCTTAAACGAACCTCGAACCTGATCAAGAGTCTCACGTTCTCTAATCTGCGTTACGGTCACCACGAGAAAAAGTATAATCAAAAATTTCAAATGATAAATGGACAAACTGAAAAAAAAAACAAACGAATTTCAGAAAAAAGATGCCCTTGAAGCTCTTTGAATTTCTAGAACTATTTATGATTGGCGCTTTTTTGATAAAATGAATCCAATTTGAGAAAACTGGATCCATAGGTAAAGTTTTTATTCCGCTGGAAATCTTAAAATTAATTTTCACTTTCGAAAAAAGAAATCGTTCACGTTTTTTGTGCTATCTCCACTTTCGTATTTGGAGAGTGATATTTACGTCACCTTCAGTAGATGAATTTCAATTGAACTCAAAAATTGCATGTATACCTAAATGCATCAATATTTTTAAGACTTTTTCCTGAAAAAAAAGGCCAGACCTATATAAGAGTCTTCACTACGTTCATTACTCTTAAAAAGAAAATCTCAAGATCATTATACTCATTGTTGTTAAGGATGTGACCCCAGTGAAAAGCGCAGGTCTTTAATTTTCTTACTTTAGTAAACATGAATGACTCAATTGAAAAAAAAAAGAATGTTCTTATAGGTACTCAGCATAACTGAGAAAAATAGAAAATACATCTCCCAGATGAAGATTAAAACCTCTCTACTCAGTTTTGGAATGCGCGACAGATAGACTATACCAAAAAAATTGTTAAGACAACGAAAACTTAAAAAAAAATTTCTACGAATAAAAAATGAAAAAACTTTCATCTCCGATCGGAAATTGAGCCTGGTCATTTGGCGTGATGGACTGAAACATATACGATGAGCTATGGATGTAGTTAAAACGAAATACTCTTAAATTTTCAGAAACTGATTGGTCCTCCCTGTAACTCTTCGCTTCTTCTGTGAAAAAAAGTGGAGTTTCCCTCCCTTTTGTCTTTCCCTAGCTTGGGAAACAAGTCATAATGGAAAAAAGCCGAAGCACATCTGATGGTAACTTAAGGAAATTTTGCGGGCCAAACTCCTAACATTTAAAACTCACTGTTGGTCCTTAAAAGTGCCAGAACTCAACGGCCACCAAGCAAAACCCCATAACAAGACAAAGAAAACCTATACTTCCAGAAAAATACTATGGCAACATCAAAAATCATCTTGATGAATTTGATCGCATTACAGCAGATGAATACAAACTTGCAGTAGACAATTCATTGAAATGAGGGAAAAAATAAGTAACCGAGCATCCGTCCAAACTGACGAGCTTATCGCACACGACTGTAAAGCTAGCTATCTGTCGATTAAAACGTCGAAAAAAGCCTAAACTGTAACGCTAGTCCGCCTTGCATACAGCGGCTTTGACTGTCCATTTAAGCCAACATCTTTTAAACGTTGTGAACCAACGCCGTAGAAGTCGCAAACTCGCTCAACTTACCAAAATAAAGGGTACATGAAGAATTATTCTGGGCTGTTCGCACTAGCTGAAAACTGCCCGTATGAATCGGGCACGGGCGTTTTGCCTCGGTTATATGTACCAAAAATTTTCCCAAAGAAAATGTTTTACTCAGTACTGTAAGAAAGGGCCTTCCCACTCTTGGCCAGCCACATTTACTGTTTGACAGACGGAGGAGACTAAACGATCAATCAATCCCCACTGGTACACTGGAAATAAACGAGAGTGACGACACGAGTTGGACAACAACAGTTACAAACAACAACATTACTAGTACCTACTAGCTAAATAATATCAACCGATGTAATAAATTAATTCAGCAGTGAGGCATATGCTAATATTGTTGAATAATGACATTTTCTAACTGCAAAAGAGGGAATGAGAATAATTTATGAGATCGATACAATTTGCTAACTCACCTGCAACGAACCAGATGAGAAGGAATGCATCTATGATTCCCTCGCCAGGGTGCTTCTTCGTCTGTTCTTCCGAGTTGTTTTGTCTGTATCGCTTCACCTGCTGCACCAGAGAAAGCGTGTTCTTCACCACCAGAACGACTCCAAATACAATCAAAAAGATCGGAATCTGACGCTCCATCGGACAGTCGTTGATTCCCAAAGACCCTGCAACAACTTGGAAATGCTACTTTTAAAATAAAACAAGCCTGCTTCTCTGAAATTTACAGGCTAAACTGAGACCTCACTTACAGGCCAACTGATTTGGCTCAAAAAAGATGTATAAACTTGGCAAATTTTCAATTGCATATTACATTATGTGAAACACTCGCTGCTTCGCAACTCTAAGTCAAATTTTTGTAGGTAATTTCGACTTCATTGATTTCACTCGAATTAATTTACAATGACTAAATGCTTTTCAATTTTTTTTGCAGAACACTTGCTACTCACTAGCATAACACAGTGCAATTCGCAGTACAATATATATCCCAATGTCAGATACCCAACAATTGCTGTCGCGTCTCCTTCTCGATGAATGTTAAAAAAAATTAACAAACCTATGATGATCATTGCAATAGGCACGACGTACATAATCCCCAGCATCACAGAGTAACCAACTGAAACAAACGCATAGTCAGTTTTTTTCCTTATTAAAAGGACATCTACCAATAATCTTTTGCATACAGATGAAGCTGCCTTTCACAAACAAAAACAAATCTGTCAAATATTAATACAGAGGCTAAGTTGAGCTGCGCAGGACATGCAATACAACAGAACCACGGCATTGTAAATCGGCAGTAAATGACACGAAAGCAACGAAGTCGTAAGTTACTTTTGAAAATTCGCAAGAACTAAAGCGGCAGCTAAGCCACAATACTTGGGTAGATTCCAGCTGAGCCAAAAACAAAAAGATGTTACCAAAAACACTGAGCAAGAAATTTTGATATTCGAAACTTTACGCTGCATTCTTTGAAACAAGAAAAAACATCACAAACTATTTTTGCATTCTATACGAGGTAGCAAAGTAGATATAGCATTAGGCGAGCCCATTTAAACGAAAAAAAAAATAACAAAAATGTAGATCAAAAACTATTTAAAATAAAAATTGACACAGTGGCGAAGCTAGGCTTCGCAAACACAAGCAAGGAAAATGCAAAAAAGTGCTCTAAACAAAAAAAATCAAGGTGAATTAAGGAAAAAATTAAAAATACAACTTGAGAAACTTTTTAGTTAGAATTAGGAACAAAACGTTCTCACATCTAATCAATGACCGCTTGCAATTTCAATTACAATAGCCACCAATTAGGCAGCTACAGTTTTTATCAAACTGCCAATGCTATGCAGCAAGGATTCGATCAAAAAAAATTTAACTATTTCAACTTTCCGGATTTGAATCTCCCGCCTGTTGATTAGGATTCTCACGTCCTCGCATTTGCCCCACGGTCGCTAGGAAGTAATCTAGTAGCCCAATTACTGCTGGAATCAACTGTTTTAAAATTTTTAATCCTATGTTGTACTGACATCGGAATGGGTAATTTTCAAAGTTTCAAAAAAATTGACGTAGCTTTGATTTTTCTGCTTTAGTAGTTGGTAAACCGCTTATCTAAACGAGAAAATTACTACTCGCACTTTCAAATGAGTTCTTTTTATCCCAGATTTGGCTGGTCAGCTGAGTTCTTTGTCTCAGATTTGGTTGGGTAATTTTCGATAAAAGTGAAAAAGATTCCCAAAAAAGATCAAAAATTAAAGCATGCGAATAGCCTCTTATTCAGGGAAGGTTTCCACACCGTTATTTTCACCTGAACTCTTAATGTCAGCTTTAGATAGTTTTCAAGAATAGTGACGAAATTTCTTTTTAAAAAAACGGTAAAGACGGATTTTTCCGATGCTCCTATCGGTTTTTCTACAAAAAAAATGCTGAAACAGATAACACAGAAAAGTCTGCGCACCATGATAAAATACAGAGCATAGCCATTTGTGCATGGAAGATTCGCATAACTGGTGTTTTCTTTCGGTTGAACCCTAAATATCCGATTTAGCAGGGTATTTTTTGAGAAAAACTTTTTTTTAAATAAACCAAAATGTCAAAACAGGCTTAGGCTTGTTTGAGGCCAGAACTTTTTTCTACTAAACTTAAGGAACAGCCACTTGAGAAGCGAGATTTCAATACCTTGTTCTTTTGTTGAAACGCTCATCTCAGATTTGTGCGTTTACTAATTGAGAAACTTCAAAAACATAGGTCAAAAATCCACCTACTGAAACGAAAAATGGGGTAGAACATGGGGTAAAACGAAAAAGGACTAGCGAAGTAGGCAGACACTCAGAAAAGCAACCGGATTGCCCATTCGTATCAATTTTGTTTTGGAAAATCGGTTTGATAGTTTTTTTTGGAAAAATTGACATTTCTGCGAAAAGGGCAAACACTTTCCAAAGCGTCGTAAAAAAGAGCAATTAAAAACATCAAATCCCATACATTTTCATCATACCTTTTGTTTTCAAACAAGACCTAACTTTAGCCAAAAATCAAGCAGCAACATATGATTTTAAATTGCCTATGCTTAAATAGGTTTATACATGATTAAATTGAAATATACCAAAATCGCCACAAAACTGCCTATGCTTAAATAGGTTTATAAATGATTAAATTGAAATACACCAAAAGCGCCACAAAACTGCCTATGCTTAAATAGGTTTATAAATGATTAAATTGAAATACACCAAAAAACGCCAATGAGCGACTTAGGTTGGAAAAAATTCTTCGTGTAAATACACTACTTTGGTTTGCATTGTTATCAAACAAATTACTTCAGATTAATGCTGATGATGTCTTCTTGACGAAAGCGCTTCAATTTTTATATGGTACGTTGTTATCTTATTTCTAAATACACTACGCTTCGTTTGTGTAAACATACAGATTACAGGTGTTTTGAATAAAAAAAATCATGTTACAGACAGGAAGCCGACAAAAAACAAGTAAACAAACGATAGCCGACAATTCGGCTTTTCAAAAATAATCATTTCCTTTTATCGATAAAAGACAAGGTCCGACAGGGGCTCGCACCCTAATCCTTATGTTCGGAAGGCCTGTTTTATCTCTGGGCCAATTGAGAGGAGCCTGAATGATTTTGAGGCTCAATAAAAACAATGTGAATTTCTTACAGATCTTAAAAGAATGTCCAGCCGGGGATCACCCCGAGACATTATGTTCCGAAGTCGCGTGCTTTATCACTAGACCAAATGGAAAGGGCCCTGAACTGTCACGAGGTTCAATAATGAATGGTGTAAATTTACATTCATGGTGAAAAGAAAACAAAGTCGGGCCGGAAACCGAGCCAGAGTCCTTTCGCCTGAAAAGAATAACGTGAAAAGTCTAGTTCCCGATTTCCAGTCACTTGCTCTGGGTTTTGAAATACTTAGAAAATTTGCGTGTTTAACTTTAAGAAACCGGTCACATTTTTGCAATTTCATGCATGACATGAATTTTAGATACAATTCTGGTTCATTTTTTTTATTTCTGTTACGAAAGAGACGATTTGAAGAAAGATTTCGAGATTTACATTATGAAGTCTTAATTGACGAAAACGTTCAAGCATTGATATTTGTTTTTTTTCATTATTATACCAAATCTTACTTGTGTTCATTAGGATGCCGACAACTTTCTTCACAAATACCATTTTGTTCGAACTCCCGTGTTCTTCGTGAGCTGCACGTATGTTTCCGAACAGACTCTCGTACGATGGAGGAGCCGCCGAAGTTGTGGGGGGTGCGTTGGGTGTCGGAGAAGGAATTGGAATCTGCACAGCAACTGAAACAAGCCATTTAAGATACGATCATTGTGCAACAGTCTAATAAAACTGCATGCCAAGGGAATTTCATCGGATTCGGATTTCAACATTTTTAATGATACAGTTCGTAAGAATAATTACTTAAACTAAAATAACATTCAAAAAATACTAAAATCAGGTAGTTAAACAGTTAGTTTTTAACATTCCTAACATACATTTTGTCTTGGCAACCTAAGGACTAATATCATGCAGACAAGTCAAGTGTTTTTACTAAGGCTGCGTCAGTATATAAACTTATGTATCCACAGTTTTCAATCATTTTTAGAATTGTAACAACAATTTAAGGTACCATCCCATACACTTCCAAAATGAAGCATGAAAGTTGCCCAGTGATTAAAAACGAAATTTAATGCAGGAAAAAGAAACTAGACGTTACATTCGACTACATTTGCCAATAGAAAAGACCTTCAACATACCAGCTTCACGGTAATTTGGAGGAGCTGATATAACATCGTCATACTGAGGTGGCTGGCTCGAATTAGTCTCCATATTGCTCGATAAGTTCTCCGTGCTCTTAAAAGCTTCCGACATCTATAAAACAATTAGCTTCTTTTTAAATTGAACATACAGATTCAGATAGTAATTAATAAAAGATTCTTTAAGTCGAGATATATGCAAATTCACTGGCTTACTTTCTTCAATTCACAGATGTTAAGGTCAAAAAGGCTCAGTCATAATCAATCTCTGAAATACATGAATAATACGGCGAGGTTAACGATACCCTGAAGCAGTTTTATTTTGGGTAGTTATCAGATATTCCGTGGTTTTGATCGAACTGAATCCATGGACTAGATTTCTATGCTTGTCTTTAAACGGCAGCATAATTTAGAGGCGGGTAAGAGTTACTAAACGTGGCGGGTAAGAGTTACAATCACTACCCTGTCAGACCAATTTTTTGGATATTGATTTTCAATCCATTGTTTCCGATTTTTATCCAATGCCTGTGTGCCATTCTGCCAGATTGACACAGCGCAACCTTCCGGCGACACGAGAAAAAACGAATAAAGGCCTTATTAAAGAAAAAGTATTGCGAAGGAGGGTAGGAATATTCTAGAGTTTTTATTTTCAAAATTTCGATTGAAAAGTGAATATTTCTGAGAAATACAAAAAGACGGCCATTTTGACGAAAAACGACGAAAAAATAGAACAACGACAAATATTGTGAAAAACGGTCGCACAAGAGACGAAAAATACGAAGCCTCTTATCGTGGCAACAACGCATGATAAGACCCTTATCAGCGGATATTAGTGGAGAAGGAAGCTTCAGTGGGGAAGGAATATTCCACGGAACCCTCCCGTGCCACAAATTGGAAGAGATAAAAGCGTTATCTCAGGAAGATTACGGGAGCGGAGGCTTGGTCCCCCAGAGACTGTCTTATGTGAAGGGACTATATAAAACTAACTTTGTAGCTACTTGGATGTCGTAGAACTCTGAATTAACACCGGTATAATTTGATATTTTAGAATATGAGTAGCTAGAAAGAGGAAAGGGTCAATCCATCTCCAATGGATTTAATATAGAACTGTCTCACAAAAATATGTTAAAATAGGTTGTTCGAGCCGTGTTTTCAATGGCAATCACGTAGTCTGAGGATCCGAGACTCAGCTATGTGGTTGTGTTCTCATGTAAACGAAAGCTGATCAAAAGTCGTTTGACTGATGGCCTAAAAATAGTAACTTTTTACTTAGCCCTAAACAGACCAGAAAATCAACTGGCAAGGTCGAGTCGGTGAAAAACGAGTAGGATTAAGGTAACTGGCGCCTGCCAGTCGTTAATAGGTACTTTTTCTACGCTCCGTCGCTGTGTAGTATTTGGGCGAATGTTACATAGACGTTTTTATGGCGCTCATGGGTGGGCCTGTCAAAGGCATAAGACCATCATGATCAGCAAGCGTTTCAGCGACGAACCCTCCACTCCGGGCGTATGCCCGAGTTAGAGGCCTTAATGACCGTTATTGTACTGATGGGAAGGTGCGTACCCTCTGTCCAGTACTATTTAGCTTTTTAACTTAGTTAACACCGAAAATTCCGGGGGCCGGAGGGTTAGGTGGGAAGTCATGAGCCCGCTTGTCCCAAGGTCCCGGGACCAAAAACAATTAAAGAGAAAGCGTAAAACCAAACAAAAATAGTGTATAACCAAGAAAAAGACAAAAATAAATTTACTTGAAAACAAAAAAGTACAAAAAACAGTAAAAAAAACCCAAAAAAGACCAAAACAGTAAAAAATGTAAAGTGACAGTTTATATGTTATTTCCAGACGAGATGTGATCTGACCTTCCTATTTGTTGTTGTTTCAGATTGATTTATATCGTTTCTGATAGAAAGATTGTGTGTTTTGGTGAAGGGTTGGGTACCCTCCCTCGAGTGTAATTTGAGTGTTTAAGCACGTTAATGGTGATTTTGCCGGTGACCGGAGGGTAGAGTGGCAAGCTGATCAACGTGTTCCACACTCAACAGGGACATAGGGACAACATCCACAACGACTGTTGGGTATCGTTGAAACAATTTTAGTATCGTTCGGGTACTATTTCATTAAAACTTAAGTGGTGGGGGGCACGATTGGCGCGGTCCCATTGTACCCTCCATCGATTGCAAATTTCCGGGTTAAGGGTCTTAATTCGGGTATTTTGGTGCAAAGGAGGGTATAGTACTATTCATTAACGACTAGTAATAGGTTATTATCCTTATTACATATTACTTATCTCCTAATTAGACCCAAGAAACACCCAATTTTGTCGAAAATTATCGATTTTCGATCAAACTGTAGACCCCCAAATTTTTGGATATCCGAGCTTTTCCGAACAGCAAAAAGCTTTTATATAGGGAGTAGCTACGTAGTTCGATCCCCCTAACTAGAGAAACCGAGTGAGAAAAGACTCAGTGAAAGTTGGAGAAAACCAAAATTTTTCGGTGTGGGTGAGTCCTACCCCCATGTGGGTGAGTCCTACCCCCAGGGTGAGTCCTACCCCCCTACCCCCATGTGGGTGAGTCCGGCCCCCGGAAAGTATGAAAAGAGACCCCTTAATAAGATCTTAATTAACCAGGCCAAGGTGCCGATTTTTCTGGATCGAAAAGTTAGATTAAAACCAAACCAAGCCGTAGTAGCGACGTTTAGGATGAGGAACTTGAATGAACTCAGCAATGACAGACAGGTGTGTCTGGTACCAAATCCAAACAGTAAAAGCTCGGCTATTTTAGGAAGAAGCTTCTCACTCACTCAGAGCGGACTGTGTGTGAGTGTGTTATTGAACACAGAAGCAACAACAGTGACAATACAGAGGGGAAAGAAACTTGGCTACGCTTTGCCTCTGAACACAGACTTTCAGAGTGTGGAGAACTTGAAAAAGTTTGATGTAACTAAATGTCCATTGCATGCGAACCAAGAATGTATAATGAAGAGAGTGAATGAATTGAAATCTACTAGGAAATTGTTTTCAATGAAGTCGGAAACAGATGATGGGCTGTATAGTTGTTCCAACTTTCCTGAGAGGCCGACAGAAGCAGAGTTAGCAGCGAATAAACCTGTCATACCTGAGATAGAGCATTTGAAGGGTAAAATATCAGACAAGGAACTAGATTCGCTCAGAGCGGTGCTAAATCGGAACGCAGACGTTTTTTTCGAAACATAAGGCCGACATAGGTTGTTGTAATTTTGTAGAACACGAGATTGAGATAGAAGAAGGCTCGGTACCTCATAGGGAAGGGGCGAGAAGAATGACCCCAAACAAGTCAGAAGCGTGTAGGAAGGAAATCGAGATGTTAATGGAGTACGACATGATCGAGCCGTCGAAGTCCCCATGGGCTTGTGGCGTGGTCATGGCGAAAAAGAAAGGCGGACAACTCAGATTTTGTTGTGATTTCCGTTATCTGAACAGAGTGACTATAAAGGACGCATACCCGATTCCCCGCATCGATGAGAGCCTATCCAAGCTGGGAGACGCGAAGTTCTTCACGACGTTGGATTTGGGCTCTGCGTTCTGGCAAGTGCCACTCAGAAACCAAGATCGAGAGAAAACAGGCTTCGCGTGTGAGCTGGGATTATTCCAGTGGAAGAGGGTGCCATTCGGATTGTGCAACGCGACGGCCACATTCCAGCGACTGATGGCCCAGGCACTCACGAGCGTCACTAAGAAATACGGGAATCTCATCATGTGTTATGTCGATGATGTCGTGATTGCAAGACCACATAGAGAGGTTGGAGGAGGTGTTTTATTGCATGAAGCAGGCGGGTCTGAAATGTAAACCCTTTAAGTGTGAAATCCTGAGGGATTCCATAAAGTATCTGGGCCGCCTGGTGGACAAACATGGAGTGAGACCAGATCCCGAAGCGGTTGAAGCGGTGCTGACCTGGAAGGCACCTAAAACAGATACACAGCTGATGAGTTTTTTGGGATTCGCTAATTATTATCGAGAGTTCATCAAGGGGTATGCTGACAAAATATACCCCATGCAGAGGTTGATGAGAAACAAGGGCAAAAAGTTCACTTGGACTGATGAGGCACAAGTTTCATTTGAAAACATCAAACGTGAACTTTGCGAGGGACCGGTCCTCGGCATGCCAACAGAGAAGGGAAAGTTCGTGCTGGACACGGATGCATCAGTGCTTGCGATATCGGGCATACTTCACCAGGAGCAGGAGTGGAACGGGAGAACGGTTCTTCGTCCGATAGCCTACGGGAGTAAAGTCCTGAGTGATACTGAAATGAAGTACGGCGCACCAAAAGCGGAGATGTTTGCGGTGATCACTTTCGTGGAAAAATACAGGGCCTACTTGGGGAGTGCTCCCTTCAAGTTACGTGTAGATAATCTTGCCCTTGCCTGGCTGAAAACCTATTCGATGTACCAAAGTTATATTGGTCGTTGGATCGTGCGCCTGGATGGATACCACATGATCATAGAGCACCGTACCCGTGACAAGCACCAGGACGCAGATAGCCTCAGTAAAAAGACAGAATTTTATGAGCGCTTCGAGGAGAAACAGGCTAACCAATCAGAAATCAAAGACGGGTTTTCCTTTCTGGACAAAGAAACCTACGACAAACTGCCACTTACTAGGTGGTTAGACAAGTCAGGGCATCCTATACCCGGACACCCTGACCTTCCAGTGGAGACGGCCGCGGAGCTAAAGCTTTTAGCCAGAGGCGAGCCTGTTCCGTTGGATCTGCTAGTCCGATCCAATTTGGTACAGCAAGAACTTACCAGGCTGGGAATAAACAGCATGGCTCTATTGAACAGGACGGTGAACGTGGCGCTGGACGTCATGGGAAAGCTCCGCGACTTGTTGGACAGGGAAGTGGATAGGCATGATCGTGAGTGGATGGAGACCATGCAGCGGTTGACTGTCACCGAGAGAATAGAGAAGAGGCCAGTGTCCATTCGCAGCCGAGGCGTTGAACGGGATTGCAGGTCGATAGTCAACCAGCTGGTGAGCTCGATGTCGAAGGAGGTCTTGTTGAGAACTTCGTTCACTGAATATGGAACACTGAATCAGAACCAAACCACTGAGGAAGTCAGGATCAAGTCGAAATCTAGCTTCACGAGGAGAGTGCATTTCACGGATGCAAAAGAAGAATACGAGCCGAGCCCAGATTGTTCGTCCGTGGACGAGACAAGGTCCGGGGAGTCTGATACATTCGAGCCAGTCAAGGACGACTCGTCTGAGGAGTCAGACACCTTTGAGCCCGTG